GTTACATGCTTACATCAGGGTAGCTACACACATAATCGGGCCGGCATAGTCGGTTCGACAGTATTTGTCGAACAACAAAGCCGACCCGTAGTAATGACTGCCGAAATTCATCTACACATTATATGTAGTTATGTATGTTATTAACGGGATTGTTACTCTTTACCTTGTTTTTAGCGAGTTTCCGATTATTATAGCAATCAAGAACAATGATACGCCGAAATCAGCCATCGCGGAACATTTGATTGATGCGGGTCCTAACCACTGGATTGAGTTCCTTAACCCACAGATTATCTCGACAGAACGCCACTACATACCAAGATTGGTCAGGGAAGCGATTGAAATAAAAAAACATAAAAATTTTAATCGTGAGGACGGGTTTAAATTTTCGAGTGTCTGGAATCCTGTGGTTCGTGTGTAAAAACCGGAAAAATCAAAATAGCGTCGTGTCGCGATCCGATACTGTAAGTGTTGTGTGTCGGGAACAGTTTCGAGTGAATAGTGAGAATGTGAACATTGGTACGGGTATCGAACGCAATAGAGGACTTCGTCGGAGGGTAGACCGATATGTCTGACAATAACAGCCTACCCGCAATTACTTCAGTTACTCCGTGATCATGGCGCTTGCAACAGTACCGAAATATCGGAAACTGGCTAAAACAAGGTACATGATAACAATCCCGTTAATAACATATATTACTATAATGTTAGTGACCATGAAAGTTTAAAACCATATATTCATCTACACATATTCGATTTTACCGCCCGGTTGTGCCGATTAATGCTGGCCCGATTGTGTGTAACTACCCTTGGGAGCCGAAATTCGAGTCGGTATCAATCCCTTTCCGAGTTGATATGTGTGTTATGACTCTAAGTATTGCTGATAGTAGTGAAGTGGTGAAGGACAGCAACTAGCCGTACACATATTTTAGGGTTCCGTACCTCAAAAGGAAAAACGGAACCCTTATAGGATCACTTTGTTGTCCGTCCGTCCGTCCGTCTGTCAATACCATTTTTCTCAGGAACGCGTGGAGGTATTAAGAACTTGGAGCTGTGAAAAAATCAAACTTCTAAACCAAAGCAATCAAAAGGTACCGCCGTTTATGCCGTAAATTTCCCCTAATTTTCGAAAATCGCGCGGGAATCACCTACAGGGTACTTCCCGTGAACTTAGGATATTGAAATTTGGTACGAAGTAATGTCTTGTAGTACGTCTTGTAGTAGTAGATGAAGGAAAAATTGCGAAAACAGTAAATTTTAGTTACATCATATAATAAAAAATATTTTTGAAAATTCAGGTATGTACGGAACCCTCGGCGCGCAAGTCCGACTCGCACTTGGCCGGTTTTTTTAAATGAAGCTATGTTAATCTCGTTTTGAAAACAAATTACACAACTTCTTAAATCAAAATATACGCACCTTAAAAAGAAATTAAGGTTTCCACTTATATTCAATTATTGTCATCATCAACCTATTAAGTTCCCCTTGTCTTTTGTTCATACTCAGTCTTTACATCTGTGTATAAACCTGATTATTTTCTAGCAAAATAAATTATTTTTTCTAGAAAATTTTTTTTAGATTTAAACATCTCAAGAATGCATAAAATTTTAAAATAATTGGTGCCGACTGTTAAAGAGGCTTTGCTCCTTACTTACTTCGTGGCAACTGCCTAAAATCGCTTAATTTAATAATTATAATCACCAAAGCAAATAATATTTGAAAAAACTAAAGGCGCATATAAATTTTCATAGCATAAGGTATAGCACCACATCAATCTCATTTATTGTCAATTTATCACTCAATATAATAGCTACATAATTACTTCTTTGTCGTTCTGCTTTAAAACGTTCGCCAGTTACAAGTCGCAGAATTTCTGGTCTACCCTTTTTTACTGGTAGTGTAAAACTCGAATGAAGAGTACTTCCACCTATCAATCGGGCTGCTACCAGCCTAGTAGTTATTGAAAATAGTGCAATCATAGCCATATTTTCCAGTATGTATAAGTTACCGAATAACAAATCATTGTCTACCAAATTAAGTAACTTTTACAAATATAATCAAATAAACATATTACTTACTTTATTTTTAAATATTTTTCATCAATTAAATATTTTTATCCTAACTATCTATACTAATATTATAAGGAAGCGAGAGTTGTATGTTTCTAATAAATTATCTGTCAAACTACTAAACCCATCTCGAAAATTCATTCATCTTAAGGTAGCTACATTATTTATTATTATATTTTTAAGCATTAATCTTAATATAGATGATTAATCTGCTCCTTTTATAAATCTAAAGTAAACTTTTACTTTAAAATAATCCACTTTGACAACTTCTCCGAGAGGGATTCTTTATAACTACATTTTATCCGAGTGACATAGGCTATATTTTCTCCCGTTAAAATAAATTTCGCCCATACAATGCCGAGGTGGATCACTAATAAGTATAATATAATATTATAGATGCGAAAGTGAGTTTGTTTGTTACGATGCCGCGACCTAATAGCTAAATCGATTATGATAAATTTCCCTATAGAAATAGATAGGACCTTGGTTCTGAGCTACAATATCGCAATACTTATAGGCTACGCCTACAGTGATGGATGGGGTGATTTACCTACAAACTTTATATTATTCACTTTGCATTTTGCAGAATTATCATTTATAATTACAAAACTTACATTATCGCGAGCTCATTAACAATGATTATTCAATAATCATAAATATCTATTACGATTTTTTTTTATCATTTAATAAGAAGTAACTGTATCACTGTTTTATTGTAAGTACTTCGTATAGGATACATGATCACATACTGCGAGTAGCGCATTTTTTTTCTTTTTCTCATAAGTTTAATCTGCTTTTAAAAACACCTTAATTAAATTTCTTCTCTTACTATTCCCGCAATCTGCTCATGCACCGCGCTATCAGTCATCGTTGTAAATTTTAAAATATTTGTCGAAATGACAGTGTAAATCGCAAAGTTTATTGTCTTTAAATATCAAAGTGATAAAAGTTTTTGTTTTGATAAAAAAATAATTTGTTAATACAAAATATGGTTAATACATTTTGGAAATGGGTATCAAATAATATTTTATTTTTGATTCACTATTTTAGCGATAATGGCTTACACAATCAAAATGGATATATGTTGTCGCGGACTTTACTGTAGAACTATTTAAGAGATACATTTCCACTATACATTATATTCATGTAACTTTTATTGTTTTTTGCAGTGCAGGCCAAAATGTCTCGCAGATGGGAGATGTTTTTCCGTCTTACATGACACTTCTTGTTATATTTTGGCCAATTCACTCAATATCTACATAAATTATTATCATATATGAGCTATATTATTGTAGGTTTCATAAAAATCCATTTAGTATTATTTAGGTGTAAGAGCAACGAAGATCCATACAAACGTAAAATTGAAATTAAAAGCGCAAGTGGGTAATATACAACTTTAGGTCGTTCTAGATCCTAAACAGTCATAAAAAATGAAAAATGGTGTTAGAAACCTAATCATGATTTTAATTATCTACTTAGACAATAACACCCAACTCGACATATTTTATCAACTTATTTTTTTTACTTCGTCACAATATGCCGCCTAATTGTCCCCATATGAAATTTTGAGTACTATCATGTCTTTAGTAGCACTTCCATAATAAAGACGAATCGATTGACGAATGAATCATCAAAATCGGTCCACGTGTTTGGTCTCTAGTGTGCCACAAAGGAAAATACATACTTAATAGACTGTTAAACACTATACCCTGTCTGCGCGTCGTGCTTCGCTTTTTTATCATTAATGTCACAAGGTAGTATGATCAAGAGACAGGAGAGAAAATGTTCTCATTTCTTGGGCATAGACCCCGTACATTAACGTACCTTTTGCAGCATGGATGGATCTGCTTATTATAAACTTCATCAGCAACCGCGAATGAGGATCAGACTTACCTTTAGTGAGGAATAGGGAGTTTGTGCCATGACCCACTACGCGGGCCCAGTGCTTTATATATAGTCATATGTAATAAAAGGGTAGAAAATACTTCTAAAATACTGTTTTAGTGACCCATCTGATGACTGGCTCTTACGATAGTTACCGCTTTTTTAGGGTTCCGTGCCAAAAGCGTAAAGATGGGACCCTATTAGTAAGGCTCCACTGTCCATCACCTGGCTGAATCTCATGAACCGCAAAAGCTAGGCAGTTAAAATTTTCACAGATGACGTATATCAGTTCCAGCTATAACAACAAAAACTAAAACATAAGAAAATGAACATTTAACTTGTGTCTTTAATTAAAACAAAACCGTGTCTTTGCTGTTTTTTCTGTCGATATTAATAATGGCAACAGGTAGACGCTTGAAATGTTCACATTGCTGAAACATTCTCAGAATATTCACTTTAAAATAAAAGTAATAAAAGTTAATTAAAATAAATATTTATCGACAGATTTTATTGAAAGTTTTTGCTCGATATTATAATATATAGTATCTAATGCTGTAAAGATGCGGAAGCCTTCTCGCATTTGGCCGATTTTAATATACATACTTTGTCATAACTGACTTTACACCTGAGACAAGGTTTAATAGGTTATTCACCAAATGAACACAACAAAAGACTTTACACACAAAAATATTTACTAAAACAAAACACATTAATTGTTTTATTATTTATTTCATCGTGATAGTAAATAGACGTAAGGATGTAAATAATAATTTTATAATATAATTATTAGACTTTTTTTTAATAAATTTACATTACATTTATGAGCATTTATATAATTATCATGTCATTTTTTAGATATGTACATAGCTAAATTATTAATATCTTCCTATTCGTTATATTTAATATCATGTAAAATCTAATCTATATATTTTTTAAATATAAAACTTGTGTTAGTGTAATCGGAATCATTTCTAAATACAAGTAATAATTTTGATGAAAACTGAAAGATATGAATTTTCTAATTGTTAAAAAGCTGTCTAAAAAAAGTTTGGTAATTGTGCCGATTGACACTATTAACAAATATAAGATAAGAATTTTATGTGACAAATAAATAATGAATATACTTAATTAATTTTATTTTTATGGTGATAAAACAAATATAATTTCTAGCACAGTAATAATAGAAGTCTTTAATTACGCATGTTCTGTTTAAAAAAATCTGCGATTAAAAAAGTATGTAACAAAAAATTTGCTAGGAAACTTTACAAATACATACAAAATAGTTTAATAATAATTTAGTTTTCAGGTAACAGTTTAGAAGTTGCAATAATTAAAACTTGGCACAAGACAAGTTCGACAAACATGAGGGAAATTCTACTAATTAATTTTATTTTCTAATTCTAATCTTAACAATATTTATGAAAAAAGTTACATCGCTTATGTTTGGGAATATTACAAGGTCAATAATGGTCTACATTTTCTACAAACTACGATAAAAAGTATTTTTTATAGTAAATAATGCAGTTTAGTTTTCATTATTTTTTTTACATGTGACATTCTGCAAATTAGCGCTAAATATTTGTTTCTTGGGCGTCATCCTCACCGGGTCGGTGCGGACTCTTTTCGTTTTCGATTTTGTACCGAATCTGTACAGGTTCTTTGCCGAGTGTACACAATAACATGAGATCTTTCTCACTGAATAGTTTTGTTACAAAATATTTACAGAGCTCTCTGTACCGAGTGCTTCCGAACCATTCGACTCTCCCATCCCGACACTGTCGCAAACAAAACAAAACGATACCGCACTGAAAACGAAGAAATAGTACTCGGTAAAGAATCTGTGTCGAAACGGAACGGCACGGAAACGAAAATGAAACGAGCCCGCACCGGCCGGCCCGGTGAGGAAGGCGCCTTATGTTTTCACCCACACTAATCATTTAATAAAACATTTTTGAACGAACAAACGAATGATTTTGTAAAAAGCGAGATTTTTTAGTTTCTTTTTTCTAATATTACAGACGTTTGCAGATCGTTTCCCACTCGTAAGATAGAAAAAGAAGGATTTGAACGTGAGGAATATTTGAAAAAGCTAATAATTCGCGCATAAACTTGTAGAAAAGTGTTCTATAACTTATTGGCGCTGAGTGTTTATACCCCGATAAATAAAAATAAAAGTAATCTAAAACTAATTCATAGAAAATGGACGAGTTATTAAATACTAACATCCAAAAGATAAAAGAACTGAAAATATTTCTTTTCTTCAGACATTCCAACCATTTCAAGAAACTGTAACACAATCAATAATTTCATTAGTGTTTTTTTTCACTAATTTTATAATGATCATTCACACTAGTGAAAACAAATGATTGCGCCCTTTGGTAGTTAATTAAAAATCACCTTTGTGTAATATTGATAGAGTTTCCACAATTGGCATCCATTAAGCTAAAATTGTAGATTATACATACTTTATAGGATTATCAATCTAGTACACGTGCAACACTCTCTTCTAAAACAATTGAAGGATAAATCTATAAATGGAGGGAATTACAAAGTCTTAGCTCTGAAATAGGTATTGTACGAGTATATTTCATTACACCAATAAGTTTTGAAATACCGCACGACTTGGATTTAAGGCCTACTTTGACATGTATTTGTCCTTCTGGTCCCCAAGCACCAGTACAGATGAGAGTAATTGAAAATCCATCTCTACAATATCTATATATACTTGTGTTATTAATTCTAGTGCCATTCTTAGATTTAGTTATATATAAATACAAATCAAAATATACTTTAAATAATGCCGATTTTTTTAATTGACAGTATAAATCTTTAATATTTTGTTTATAAACTGCATTCAAAAGAGTCACGTGAGAAAATAATCATATTTTTTACAAAGGTATCTATTATTTTTAATTCAAATGAATCATTGATTACTATGTAGCTTTCCCTCAAAACCAACCTTTTCAGTAACAAGTCAATACTGATTCTTATTTCCTAAAACACCATGTGCAGATAATACATAATTATCATTGGACCAAAATTCAACCTTCACGTCTTTCATAGATTTATTACTACAAGCCTGATTTCAAAACATAACTTATTCAACGTTTCTGTGATGATGTTATTGTATTTATAATCAATTTCCAATAATACTAATCTAATCTACAAATCATTTTTTAACACTAGAACGTTGAAAAATTCATGTCAGTCAGGATATTTACTAATTTCTTAAGATGATACAAGTTGCGATTTATTTACTAAGCAATATAAAAGTTTTAATAATAGCAACTACTCTTATAAATATAGATATTCTCACACAGTCATAAACTAAATTGAGTTTTGACGTCTAAGACATCCCATTGTAATATTTATATACAAATATTTTGTTATATAAGGTACTTAAACATGCCTTAAAGAATATAATTACACACATCACGTTTTCTTAAAGTAATTAATAGTGGCACTGTTAATATAGACGTCATTAAAGATAGTAAATTTATTGTGCAATCCTTAATTACAATTAGGTGAATATTAAAAATCTAACTTTTCAATTTAACCGTAATTTAGACACTCATAAAGACACAAGAGGATATTATAGTTACAAAAATATCAATGCTTAGAAACGTTGAAAGAAACACCATACTGTAAAGGCTATGGTCCCTCAACAAGACACGCATTAAATAGCTACAGACAAGAATTCTAGGCGAAAGTCTCGAATATTCGTTGAATGCTGCCAAATCCAAGAATCGATAAACACACACTTCACTAAAAGTACACCATATCACAAGATAGAATAATCCTAGTAATCCGTAGTAGTTCGATTGAGACAAATCTGATTGTCAGTTTAGGGACTTTGTGCAGGACTGGGCCAAGGAGGCCGCATTTTTTCCAGCACATATTTGAGCTGGAAACCAGTATGGAAATGCTACAGATACTCATCTATTTGATCGTAGTCTTCATCGGGAGGTGACGGGCCAGAGATAGACAGTATTGGCAGACCGAAATGTTTCACTGTTTCAACACTACTGCTATCATCTGATTTGCTTGCTTCTTCGTTTATAGTCTCCTCTCTTGGTTTGATTTTACAAAGACGTTCAGATGAATCGCTCATTGAGGTAAGGGGTATATTATCTGCCGATCTGAAAGAAAAAAATATTAATCAAAGTTGAACAATTATATTCAAATTAAATTTGCTAGGCCTTCTTCTTGAAGTCTTATGTAACACATGCTCCTTCGTGTGCAAGAGGTCTTAAGTTCGAACCCAAAAAGCATAAAAATACAAAAACGTTTTTTTATTTATATTTTGCTTAGTTTTTTTTTTGAGTTTTGGAATTTGAATTTTCACTTCTGTCAGCCCCTCCGGAGTACTACCGCCATTTTTATTAATATAATTTTATAGCGCATGTTTCAATATTAAGAAAATGTTATACCTGGCCTTGCGGCATAATTTAGACTGGGAACCGTGTCGTCTTAAGAACTCTCCTGCATCGAAGGCAGCGAATCCCGTAGGTTCGGCTGACACGAATATTGCTGAGTTGACCCGAGGCCTATTGCACCTGGCTAGGAGTCGTTCCTCGCACTCCAAGCTTTGTGTGTGCGTGTGTGACCAGCGCATGTGCTGCAAAACAAATATTCAATAAACAATAGCTGAAATAAAAAAAAAACAGACCAGACAAGATTATCTCGATCTGGAATTTGGGTGCCGCGGCATTGACATTTTCTGATGATATTGAAAAAGAAATCTTGAATATCTAATGGGTCCCGACTGTTAAAGTAGCTTTGTTCCTTACTTAACAGAATTGCGACTACTGGATTTGTATTTTTCAGAGTTTAGTTGAAGTTATATTTAAGCAGTCTGCTTTTTGGATTTTTTAAAATTTACATTTTATTATTTGTTTAATTCACACTTTTTAGTTACGATTATAAGACGGTATATACGTACTTCGGCGCTACCGCTGTCTTGTCACTTCGCAAGGGAATGAATACTGCGGGGATTAAAAAGTATCTTGCGGTGGTCTAAACGATTGATTTTTCAGACATATAGAGACCTTACCACCAGGGTCAATTTTTGCAAAAATGTGTGCAGTTAAATCAACTTGTTACCTATATTTCTAATACATGTAAATTTTATAGTTAACTAGTACCTTTTCAAAAAGTCATCTTTCAAAAAGTCATCTTTTGCTGATGTTCTTTTTAGTAGTTAATACAAAATTAATTTACTTTTTCGTCGACTATCTAAAATTGGCAGTCGCTACATAGTCAACGTCCGGCTTTAAGTACACAAATACAGTGTCATATCCCAGTCTCATATTTTTTTTACCTAAATTATTTACAGAAACCAAATATGTAGATACCAAATGTTAATTATACAATACCAATCAATGACGTTAATGTCGCAGGTTGACGAAAGCAATAATTCCCGCCTGTTGTTTTGGACACTGGTGGCAACTTGCTTAGATCGCTAAATTAAATAATTAAACAAACACCAAAGCAATTTTTATAATATTTGATTCAACTAAAGGCGTAGAATAAAATTTCTATTGCGTTCGGTACAGCACCATAGCAATCTCATTTATTATCAATTTATCATCCAATGTTTAGATTTACATCTTTGTCGTTCTCTTTTAAAGCGGTCACCAGTTACAGGTCGCAGGCGTTCTGGTCTACCCTTTTTATTGGTAGGTAGTGTAAAGCTCGAATAACGAGTTGGTACTTACACCTATCAGTCAGGCTGCTACCGGCATAGTATAGTAGGTATTGCAAATGGTGCAATTGTAGTAATTATATTCAAAATATTTTTTTCTACCTATAATCAAAATAAGAATATGTATGTATAAATTAGTGAATAATGAATCACTGTGAATCAAAAATGCCAAGTAACTTTTACAAAATTAATAACATTCAAATAATCCTATCACTTTAAATCTTTATCATCAATTTAATATTATTATTATATAACTAATATTTTAAATAGGCAAGAATTATATGTTTGCAACAAATAATCTCCCAAACTACTGAACCGATTTCAAAAATTCATTAACCATAAAGTGACTACATTATTTATTATATTTTCAAGCATTAATCTCAATGTCGTTGATTAATCTGTTCGATTTATAAATCTAAGAAAATTTTTACTTAAAAAAAATCCACTCTACACTATTCTTATCCACTCTTATAACACTTCTCCGAGAGGAAATTTTTAAAGTAAAAAATTTCTTTATAACTATATTATATCTGAGTGACATTAGGCTATATTTTATCCTTTCAATATAAATTTCGCCCGTGCAATGCCGGGGCGGATCACTAGTATAATATAATGTTATAGATACGAAAGTGAGGTTGTCGCTTTCGTGCCCTAATAGCTAAATTATGATGAATTTCCCTATAGAAATAGATGCGACCATTGTTGTTAGCTACATTATCAAAATATTTATAGGGGTAGGGTGATGGAAGTGGGGATTTACCTAAAAAACTTTAAGTTATTTGCTTAGAATTTATCAGAATTATCGTTTATAATTACAAAACCAACATTATCGCGGGCTCATTAATAAAGGCAGGAAGGAAGTTCATTAAGTAAAGTAACCATTTGAATAACATAAAGTAATATCGTAAAAATTAACTTTGAAAACAGAGAATCTGAGTTTTTCACTAAATTTCAATTATCATAAATACCTACTATGATAATTTGTTTTTTATCATTTAATAAGAAGGAACTTTATCACAGTTTTATTATTAGTACTACGTATAGGATTAGATACTGCGAGTAGCCCATTTTTTTTCTTTTATTCCTAGGTTTTATATACGTTTATAAACACCAAAATTCATCAAAATTTCTGTTGCCACCATTCGCGCTGTTTACTAATGCATAGTACACCGCGCTATCACTTTGTCATTGTTGTAACTTTTTAAATATTTGTCGAAATGATTTAATGTAAAAAACAAAGTTTATTATCTTTAAATATCAAAAACATTAAAAGTATTTGTTTTGATAAAAAATAATTTCTTTATACAAAATGTGCTTAAATGCACGAAAGGTATATCAAATAAAATTTTAATTTTTGATTTACTGTTTTAGCGATATTGGCTTACACATTATAAAAAGATATATGCTGACCTGGACTTTTTTGTAGAACTATATAAGAGATACATTTTCACTATACACTATATTCATGTAACTTTTTAGTTTTTGCAATGCAGGCCAAAATGGCTCGCAGATGGGAGATTTTTTCCCGTTTTATGTGACACTAATTTTTATATTTTGGCCAATTCACTCAATAACTACATAAATTATTATATATATATATTATTATCATATATGAACTATATTACTGTTAAGTTTCATTAAAATCCAATCAGTATTTTTTGGGTGAAAGAATAACAAAGATCCAAAAAATCGAAAGATTGAAATTAAAAGCACAAGTTATTATTATACAACTTGAAATCGTTGTAGATCCTAAACAGTCACATAAAATGAAAACAGGTGTAAAAAACCTAAACATGATTTTCGATTATCTAGACAATAATATGTCGAGTGCGGTATGCACTCGACATATTTCGTCAACTTATTTTTTTTTCTTTCGCACAATGTGGCGCCTTATTGTCCTTATATTTAATTTAGATTACTATCATGTCTTTAGTAGCACTCCCATGATTAAGACGAATCGATTGACGTATGAATCAACAAAATCGGTGCAGGCGTTTGGTATGTAGTGTGCCACAAAGGAACATACATACATATATACTTAGACTAATAAACACTATACCCTGTCTTCGTGTCGCGCTTCAAGCTCTTGCATTGCGCAATCACGTAAAAAAATTTTTAGTAATACAGGGCACCTATAATATTTTATCAATCATAACATGATAATATAAACGAGTAGCGTAAACTTATATCCAGTTTAAATATTTTTCATAGTGTAAATGAAAGGGAACTTAAAAAATATTCTGATAAAATTAGCATTTCAGTTTATGCCTCTTACGAAACAATACAATATTAGGTTTGAAAGTTATGATTCGAATCTTGAATATGCGGGTATTGTTCGAGTTTCCCCTGTTCTTTGTACAAAGTTTATCCAAGTAGATAAACCTTGTTCAAAACTCTCCTCTCTAATTTCGTTTAGAATTTAGGATGCGACTGCTACTTTCAATTTAAATTTTGGAAGAAGTATAATGACACTTTTGATTAATATTTTGAGGGAAATGCAATGAGCAATCTTCTCCTGATAGAAATGAAATGATTAGAAAATACATATACAAAAAGTGTTGTGCTTATCATGAAAATAAGCACAATTTGTTTATTTTTTCCCACGTGTTTGCTTTAATTATTATATTCTTCGATTTACACTGTATTTTTAATGTAACTTTGGTCTAAGTAGTAGTAGTCTATGTAATAGTAAGAAACTCATATGTCATTAAGTGTATAAGATCTGATAATGACCAACATTTCTGCCTATAGAGTAATTACTCTGTCTACACTGGTTTGACAGACAACCAGAGGATCAGATTTAGCTACTATCATTCTTTTTGGATAGGCGTGACCTGAATTTGGAGTGTTTTAGTAAATATTCCCGTGACACGATTGTCATTATGAACATGCGATGTTGCGACATTCACTTTTTTCCCACCGTGAAAAGGCTACACAATTCCGTGTTGCTTTCAGTGTGTTTAATTACCTTAACATCACTGCATAAGGTCTGTTTTCGCGAATCCCTGTTATAAATTTTTGAAGATGGCCACGTTATAATACAACTGTCATTGTAACACGCGATCCTCGAGTTAGGTCTGTGTAGGCAGCGAACTTGTTCTGTAGCTTTAGATTAAATAATTACTAAAAGGAAACATTTTGATGCATTGCGGGTTACATTGGATGTGTAATGCAATTATTTGGAGATATATTATCTAAGTTTTTTTTAATTGTTGTGTAGGACATGAATTGATATACCCATATCAATAAAATATATAAATGCAAAGATGAAAAATTATCCAAGATTATGTTCCCCCTTATTAATAAACGAGGAATAAGCTTGTACTAGTTACGCTGTGTTTTGTTCATATTACTCATATGCCATTTGTCATTTGTTCCATGTTTCAGACACCAAAAATCAATAGGTTCATTTCTGTGTTGTAGTATTGCATTGTTTAAGAAAGTTCCTCAAGATCTGATTGAGCTTCCACTAACCAAATTTAAATTTCAGATCAGGAATTCTCTTATGAAAAAGGGCTATTATAAAGTTAATGATTTATCTAAATGATCGTAATGCATGGACATAGTGTTTCTTGTAATTTGTTACTTGATGGGTATTAGTCATTTTTTGTTACAGTAATATGGTACCTATCTAATGCCGCTTCCTATATACTAAATATAAAATTTATTGTAACTATATATATCTATATCCTAAATGATATGATGGAAGGTGACTTCAGAAGTAATTTTTAAGTCTCTGAAGTCATTTTTCAACTTAACGACTCTGTATATATCAATACAGGGAGAAAAAAGCAGCCCTTGCTGAGTTTCTTGCCGGTTCTACTCAGTACAAGGTCTCCCGCCGTAGTTTTGCGAACCGATGGCGTATCTTCTGACCTTCGCAAGTGCTTGTAACAGCTTAGACTGAATAAATG